ATGGGGCAGACGCACCCCTTTTTTCTTAAGAAGGCCAGAGCAAGCCGATTACGCCCGAGCACAGGAGGACTTGCAGCCAATCCTGCCACCAGAGATCGTCCGCACGACAGCTCCCCGAGCGGCGTGCTGAGAAGGCACGCAGCGAAGTCTGTGGTCTGGCTGTAAGACAACCGAGTATGCAAGAACGGCTGCGGCCCGAGCAAAGTTGTTTAGCACTGCACGCGAAGTTGCACCAGCCAGGTTAGTCTCGCAGTGGTGCCAGGCGGCCCTTCGGTCCATAGCCACCCAGGAGCTGCTGCGCTAACGGGGGTTGGTGTTGCTCCTCTCGGGGCCCGTCTCCATCCGACCAGCCTGGCTGGATTTTGACTCTCCGGCTGGTCCCGATTCGATCCGATCCCGCCGGGGCTCAGGAGTCGGACATTATTGTCCCACAAGGCCAGGTTATTCTCGCAGTGGTGCACACGGTCTTCCGCACTCAAGATCCGAACTTGTGATAAGATTCTGGGGCGTGATTTTCCGTATGGGATTCTGGGTGCCGCTGCTTCTTTGCTTCGGACAGTTGGCAGCACAGCAGGATGATTATGCATGAGCCCAGGGGTGTTGAAAGTGGATTTCATGAAGAGGGTCGTGGGCGCATTGAGACCGCAAGGCGACCGAGGCGCGGCCTGTTTGGTTCGGAGACGAGATTCCAGCGCAGCCGTCTGGGATCTTCGCCCTCCAGAACTTGAAGCGCTTTGCCTGAGTACTTGCAAACTGAGCCAGCACATTGCGCTTTGAGAGAAGCAACGGGAAGCCGTGGGACGAGGCTACCGAAACACAATCAAAAGCACCATGCTCCAAGCCCACTCCGCGACGTCGCATTGTTTTCACAACGTGGACCCCCAGTGGTCTGGACCCCCCCCAGGGACCGGTTTTTGATCCCGGACCGCCTTTTGACTGTCCTGGTGCCCAGCAAGGGCCCACTTGAGGCCCAGACATGTCAAAACAGTTCCTTGCCGTGATGTGTGCCATGGAGCGAGGAGGTTTCAGAGGCGTGCCGGATATGCGGTGGGTTTCGTCGGCAGCCAGAGACCATTCTCCGTCTCAGTATTGTTCTTTCAGTAGTCGCATTATTGTTCTCATTATTGTTAGTATTCGTCTTAGTCGTACTCCTCTTGGTCATATTATTGGTACTACGATGACGATGATTAGTATCATTCGTAGTACTGTTAGTTTTGTTATTATTATTGTGTACTGAGATTGTTATTATTGCGTTTCTTCTTCTTCTTCACAGGACCGAGCGACGGCGAGCTGCCTCCCACGGCAGGAGACGAGCGTGGCCTGCCTCGGCACACATGGGGCCCCGCACCCATTGCGGGCTCTGGCAATCCGGATCGTTCCTCGCCCTCCGCCACCTCCTCCTCGCCTCTTCCATATCCCCTCCCTCCTCAACCTCCTTCCGCATTTCTCCCACCCTCCTCCTCCTCCTCCTCCTCCTCCTCCTCCTCTCCTCCTCCTCCTCCTCCTCCTCCTCCTCCTCCTCCTCCTCCTCCTCCTCCTCCTCCTCCTCCTCCTAATTCTTCATTATTCCTCCTGTTGCTGATCCTACTCCTTCTCCTCCTCCTCCTCCTCCTCATTCTCCTCCTCCTTCTCACGCGTCTCCTCCTCCTCCTCCTCCTCCTCCTCCTCCTCCTCCTCCTCGTCTTCTACCTCCTCCACATCATCATCCTCTTCCTCCTCCTCTTTCTCCTCCTCTTCCTTTTCCCTGCATGACCAATCTTGCTCAAACCGTCCACCTCCTCCAGCTCCTCATCCTCCTGTCTCGAAGTAACGCCCTGCATGCCCAAATCTACATATACTAGAAGCGAGCGTTCGCCTCGCCATAAGCGAGGGTGCCATTTTGAAGACGGCCTGTTCTCAGACTTCGAGGTCATAGAGCGTGAGGCAGGCTCATGCGAAACGCCTGGCCCGCCCGAACGACACGTGTCGTGGTGTGACAGGAAGGAGTTACCTTTAAGGAAGAGGGATGGATGAGGAGGAAAGGGAAGGGGAGAAGGAGGTTGGGAGCGAAGGAAGGAGGGAGGGCGGGAGGACGGACGGACGGAGGGAGGAGCGCAGTGACCATTACAAGCGGCCGCGACCACAGCCACGAACCCAGACCACCACGACCGCCAACAGCACGACGACCACTGCCGCCACCACCACGACCACGACGACGACTCTGAACACGGCGACCCCCGCGACCACCGACGCCGCGACCACGACCAGCACCATCACATTCACCACCGCGACCACCGCCGACCAGCACAACGGCGCCATGACCACCAACACTGCCACTATCACCATCGATCCGACCGCCCCTGCCCCGGGCCGCCCCTCTCTTTTCCTCTCCCTGCCTCTGCTGGGCCGCCCTTGCTGCCGCACGCGCCTTGCGCTTCGCCTCCGCCTTCTTCCCCGCCCCTCCCTTTCCTCTGCATTTCTCCTTGCATAATTCAATGAATTATGGGAACGTGCACTTAACGACGGAATGCCACGGAACCAGTTCTTCAAGAGCTGTGTCCAGTAGGTGGCGTTCTTTGTGGCTAGGGACCCAGAACCATAACCACAACGCCTGGAGCCCGGGGGTCCCCCTTGGTGACGGGGGTGGGGACTCACTCGGGTGCCCCCAGGCCTTTTCAGGGAGGGAGGACGGACGGACGGAGGAGGAGAGAGTTGTCGTGAGGAGGCAGCAGGGAGGGTGAGAAAGAGCAGAACGAAGAGTGCGAAGGATGAGGGAGCAGGAAGAACAGTAATTCGGAGGCGGCAAGAGTGGGAAGAGAAGAGGAGGAGGAAGAGGAGGATGAGGATCAGCAGCATGACGAAGGAGGGGGGAGGAGGAGGAGGAGGAGGAGGAGGAGGAGGAGAAGGAGGAGGAGGAGGAGAAGGAGGAGGAGGGAGAAACGGGGAGGGTGTAGGAGAGGGGTGGGAGGGGACGTCATCGCCAGCGTCTTCGTCTCACCTGGGATTCGATGCTGTTGGTGGCACCTTTCCTCGCGTTCTCGCCGCTGTGAAAAGACACACACGTTGTCCCTTCGACGCTCGGCTGAATCTGAACTACGGACGCACGGAAACAGGACGCACTTACCACGATGTGTGTTCCTTGCCAAGCGGCGTGGAAGTCACACACACACACACACACACGTTTTCATTCGACGCGCCGTTGGCTGCAAACGACGGGTGCATGGCGACACACACACACACACACACACACATACACACACACACACACACACACACACACACAAACACAAACACAAACACACACACACACACACACACCTACGCATGAAACAAAGAAACAACAACAAAAACGATAAGAGCGGTTTTTCATTCCGACACGTTGATGACGATAGCCAGCGGGCAACGATAAGCAAAGGCGGGATGCGCGCAAAGCTATCTTAGCTTACGAATGCCACCTACAGCTACTATCCGCCCCTGGTCGGGTGAAGGCTCACGCGAAGCGTGCACGAACAAGAGAACAGAGCTCTGTTCGGAGGACAGCGAGGGCCGCAACCCGAGCTTGCCAGCCTGCACTGGTCAGCACCACACCGAGGGCACGTGCGAACCCCGCGCACTCCCCCCGAGAGGATGTTGACCACCACGGGCGGGTGGGAGCGCAGCGGGGCCAAAATGTGACAGAGCGCAGTCGAGCCGAGCCCGCTAAGGCAATTGGCCGTCAGAAAGCCATCTAGCAAGCTCTGACGATGCGTGAGTGCCGCCTGCATCTGCCCTCCGACCCCATGTCAGGCGAAGGCTCGCGCGAAGCGTGCACGAAGAGTAGAAGCGTCTGAACCCCATTCAGATGACAGCGAGCGCCACGACCCGAGTCTGCAAGCTTGCACTGGCCAGTACCGCATCACCTTCCCCGATCAAGCGTGAGCCCCAGCCCATAAGAAAGACGAGATTGGCAACACATGAGACGAGTGCCCGCACATGGGAGCCAACTGCACAGTATCTTTAAGCAAGAGACCACGAATCTGGCGAAACATCTGCATGCAAACGAGGTGAACTTCCCCTCGGCGCAGGTACTCCTGAGCTGACCTCTCCGAGAGCCACCTGCCAAACAACATGATGTCTGCCAGCGGCACGCCTTTGCCCGCAGCTCTGTCGCACCACCTCGCCGAAGTCCGTGGGGGGCCCAGTGCACCAAAGCAGTCGCTGTCTTCGGTGGCTAGCGCTGCTCACGCGGGTGCGACTCACAGAGCCGCTGCTTGGGCTTGAGCTCCATGTGAGCAGAGTAGTGCGCAAGCCAGCCGATGGCTCCTCGAGCAAAACTCGCTGCCCCGCGCTCCTCTAGGCGCGGCCGAGCAGCGCCGCAAGACCTGAAGCAGTTCTGGCCCGAGTGCTTCCACCCACCGAGAGCGCCTCTGACGCGCGCAGCAGGCCAGCGAAGCAGAGGACCACCACAGCGGCGCAGCCGAGCACGCAAGGACCAGGCCACCTGACGACGCCGAGGGCAGGCGCTGCAGGGAGGGCAGGCGCCTTCGCGAAGGCGGCCGCCGAGCACGCCAGACATCCAGCGCCTTACAAGCAGTGCGGTAGTCTTCTCCTCCTCCTCCTCCTCCTCCTCCTCCTCCTCTGCCGAGGGTTCGCCTTCGCGAAGGCCGCATGGTGGACGCCGCGCCCAAGCCCCCTCGACGCCACCAGAGTCCTCGAACGTGTCGGCGACGCGCTCCGCCAGGCACCAGTCCAGCTCGTCCCCAGAGAGCTGATCGAGGCTGACCCCCATGGCCTCCAGGTCGGAGCTGAAGGCGCTGAGGGCCGAGGCGTGGCGCTGCGTGGCCACCAGCTTGAGCGCGCGTATCGGAAAGGTACTGTTTCGCCCACGGCGCTTGCCACGATCGTTGACCATGACAAGAGTGCCCTCGTGATCTGGCCAAGGCGCCCACGGCCGAGCGGGCCAGAGCCAGACATAGCTGCGGAGGATGACACGCCAACTGCGCCGTGGCGACCCTTCCTTCGGGGTCGGCCCAGGCATACCTTTGTGACGATGCCGACGATAACAACGAAGCCCAAGAACGCTCCCAAGGCTCTCATCGTTCGTGGCGGTGGACGTTGGCTTCTGCGACCTAGCTCCATGCCTAGCTGATCAAACGAGACGACGTGAAGCCCGAAAAGGTCGGCAACGAGGGCAGTTACGCCCCCGCGTCGACCACGACCCCAGCCAGTAGCGGCGTCGCCACCAGAGCCGCGTCCACGCCTTGCGCCTCGAGGCGGAGCGCGGCCAGCTCAGGCACGCTGGGGTCCCGCTGGACGGTCGCATGCAGCGGCGCCTCCCCCCGGCACGACTGCGGCGCGGAAGTGGCCAGGCACCAGCCGCACCAGCACCCACACGAAGTTACTGCCCGTCGCGTCGGTGGTGAGGCCGAGGTTGTCGTCCTTCCCTGGACCTGCCCGAAGACCAGCACCTCGACCCACTCGCCCGACCTCGATACCAGCACGCAGCATGGCGCCGCCACGCCTGCGGCCACGCCACCGGCCAGCGCCGTCTCGATCAGCCCGCGCTCCAGAGCGAACGAAGCAGCTGCGAGTTCGCGAAGGCGTACGCGCTCGGCCTGCCGACCCGCCGTCGGCCACGCAGCCACAGCCGCCCGCCGCAGCGGGCCCTCCGCGCGGCCCGGGCCGCCGAGCGGGCGGCCTCGGCGGAGGCCCGCCCCCCGCGTGCTGCCCGCGCGCGGTGCTCCCAGGCGAGGGCCGCCAGGGAGCCGAGGAGCGAGCCCAGCGCCTGCAGGCCCGCATAGCTCCAGGCAGAGGCCGCGGCTGCGGTCCGCCCGACCACGGAGGCGCGGCTCGCCCCCGCGGGGCGCAAGGCCAGCAGGGCCTCGGGCGCGTGCCGAGCGGCTGCCCACCCAGCCGCCCGGCTCCAGTGCAGCGCAGCCGAGCCCAGCACGAGGAGGGCCGACTGCGCGGCGGACGGGGCAAGCTCTGAGTGGCCTGTCGTGGTCGCCAGTGCATGTCACCGTGAGGTGGCCCGAGCCCAAGCATCGCAGATTGCAGCCGAGCCGAGCCTGACGAGACAACTGGCCTCCAGAAAACCATCTGGGAAGCTCTGACTACACCGTGCGTGGTAGCGCTGGCAACCTTCACACACACACACACACACACAAACACACAAACACACACACACACACACAAACAAACACAAACAAACAAACAAACAAACAAACAAACAAACACACACACACACACACACACACAAACAAACAAACACACACACACACACACAAAAAAACACACACACGAACACACACACACACACACACACACACACACAAGCACACACACACACACACAGGTCCGCCGGGCCTCCCCCCTCTCCAGGTGCGGCGGCGACCCGTGCATAGGCCGAGTCACCGAGACGATGTACTGCAAGCCGAACGCCAGCAGCCCCGTCGACTGCGCCCTCGGCGCCTGGGAGAGCTGGGGCACCTGTGACGCGGCGACGCTGCAGAAGACCCGCAGCCGCAAGATCGCGACCTACCCCGCGGCTGGCGGCAAGCCCTGCGTCGGGGCGCTCACGTCCACCCTGCCGTGCGGCGAGCGGCACGCGGCGGTCGACTGCGAGCTGGGGGCGTGGATGGATCTCCAGGGAGGCGAATGATCGGAGGAGGGCCCGTCGAGATGATGGCGGCCCTCCCCCAGATCTCCGAAGACATGATTCCCTGACAGCGCTTCGCCAGAGGGCGCCATTTGTGGTCAGTAGAGGACCCAAGAAGAGTCCCACAGGGGGGGCGGGGAGGCCCAGCCCGCCCGGTCCAGAAGCGGTGCGGCAGACGTTCCGCTTGAGATGTCTTACAATGCATCCAGGAATCGCACTCTCGCCTCAATACTGGCTACATGTGTGGTCCGGACGGCCACGACCCCTTGTACATTGCCCTGGCGAAGGACCCAACCATATGCAGTTGTGAGTACCGAGTCGTGGGTACCGCATTCGGTGGAGTTCCCTATTGGGGCCACGAAACGCGTGCGAGCTTGCCAAATGGACGAGGGGACGCATGCGGACTTTGCCATTAGGGCCTTCGGTCGAGCTCCCTGTGGTGCCACGAAACATGTGAGGGGTGTGCCGACATGGGTGGCAGGGACGCATGAGAACTGCGCCACTAGGGCCTTCGGTCGAGCTCCATGTGGGGCCACTTAGCTTGTGAGGACTAAGCCAAAATGGGTGGCGGGGACGCATGTGAACTGCGCCACTGGTGCTTTCGGTAGATCCCCCATGTAAGGGCACGAAACGTTTGAGGGCTGTTCCGAAATGTTCCCGACGCCACCATGCGAATTGCGCCACTGGGGCCTTCGGTGGAGCTCCCTGAAAGACCACGAAACATGGGAGGGGTGTTCCGAAATCGGCCCAACGCCGCTGTGCGAACTGCGCCACTGGGGCATTCGATGGAGCTCCTTGTGGGGCCACGAAACGTGTGAGGGGTGTCGCCACCATGTGAAGTGCGCCATTGGTGCTTTCGGTAGAGCCCACATGTAAGGCCACGAAACGTGTGAGGGGTGTGACGCAATGGAATCGACACCACGATGCGAACTGCGCCACTGGGGCCTTCGGTGGAGTTCCCTGTGGGGCCAGGAAACGTGTCACGGGTGTGCCGATATGGGTACGACGCCACCATGCGAATTGTGCCACTGGGTCTTAGGTGGAGCTCCCTGTGGGGCCACGAGAGACGTGAAGGGCGGGCCGACATTGGTGAGACGCCACCACGCGATCTGCGCCGTTGGGGCCTTCGGTGGAGCGCCCTGAAGGACCAAGAAACGTGAGATGGGTGTGCCGACATGGACCTACGCCACCATGCGAACTGCGGCTTGGGGGCCTTCGGTGGAGCTCCCTGTGGGGCCACGAAACGTGTGAAGGGTATGGCGAAATGGGAGCGATGCCACAATGTGAACTGCGCCACTGGGACCTTCGGTAGAGCCCCCATGTAAGGGCACGAAACGTGTGACGGGCGTGCCGCAATGTAATCGACACCACCATGCGAACTGCGCCGATGGGGCATTCGGTGGAGCTCCATGCGGGGCCATGAAACGTGTGAGGGGTATGGCGAAGTGGGCGCGACACCACCAGGCGAATTGCGCCACTGCGGCCGTCGGTGGAGATCCTTGTGGGGCCACGAAACGTGTCAGGGGTGTTCTGCAAGGAGGAGGGGAGAGGAGAGGAGAGGAGAGGAGAGAAGAGGAGGGGGGGGGAGGGGAGTGGAGTGGAGGGGAGGGGAGAGTAGAGGAGAGGAGAGAGGGGAGATGACGCGACGCTGACGCTGTCTCTTCGCAACGAGGTCACAACCATATTCAGGTGTGAGTAACGCAGTTGTGAGCATCGTCTTCGGTGGAGCTTTCTATGAGGCCACTAAACGCGTGAGGGGTGTGCCGCAATGGGTGCACTGGAACTTTCGGTGGAGATCCCTATGGGGCCATGAGACGTGCGAGGGGTGTGCCGAAATGGTTGGCGGGGACGCCTTGTGCAAGCGATGCCACCGGGACCGTCGGTGAAGCTCGGGCCACGAAATGTGTCAGGGGTGAGCCCAAGTGGGCGTCAGGTACGCATGCGAAACTGCGCCATGGGAACTTTCGGTGGAGCTTCCTACTATGAGGCCACGAAACGTATGAAGGGTGTGCCGAAATTGGCGGCGTGGACGCATGCGAACGGTGCCACTGGGACCTTCGGTGGAGCTTTTGTGGGGCCACGAAACGTGTGAGGGGTGAGCCGACATGGGTAGTGGGGACGCATGGAAACGGTGCCACTATAACTTGCGGTGGAGCTCCTTGTGGGGCCACGAAACGTGTCAGGGGTGTGCCGAAATGAAAGGCGGGGACGCATGCGAATACTGCAAAGGAACCGTAGGAGGAGCTTCCTAGTATGGAGCCACGAAACTTGTGAGGGATGTGCCGACATGGGTGGCGGGGGCGCATGCGAACGGTGCTATTGGGACCTTCGGGAGAGCTCCCTATGGGACCACGAATCGTGTGAGTGGTGAGCAGAATGGGGGGCTTGGACTCATGCGAACGGTGCCACTGGGACCGTCGGTGGAGCTTCCTACTGGGGCCACGAATTGTGTGAGGGGTGTGCCGAAATGGGCGTCGGGGGCGCATGCGAACTGCGCCATGGGGACCTTCGGTGGAGCTCCCTGTGGGGCCACAACATGTATGAGGGGTGTGCCGACATGTGCGGCGTGGACGCATGCTAACAGTGCCACCAGGACAGTCGGTGGAGCTCCCTGTGAGGCCACGACGCGTGTGATGGGTGTGCCGAGGGGTGTACCGAAACAGAGACATGCGGAGGGCAGAGGCAGGGATGGGAGGAGAGAGGAGGGAGCGGGAGGAGGAGATGGGAGGGGCGCGGGGCGCTGCCTCTTCAAAACGAGGGCCCAACACCACAGGATGGCTGTGAAAGAGCACGAAAGTGCACATGGCCGTGCTCTCAGCCCTGTCGCTATCCGACCTCCTACTCCTCGACCCGCCTTTCTTGGCATCGCTCGGACGTGTGCGCTTTTTTTCCTCGGCGAGGACCATCGAGGAGCTTGCTTGACCATTCGGCGAAAAAACCACGCACGAAACCGACAAAAAACAGGGAATGGACGTTCGAGCGATGGCCAGCTTTTCACCTTCGCTGCTGTTAGGGTGCCCTGCTGGGGTGATCGTTCCAATCCTGGCGTTTTTCATCGATCTCGGCCTCCGGGGCCCGCTATCGGGAGGAGCACCGAACACGAATCGGGGGTGAAAAATGTGCGACCGTTTTCTTACTGATTGTTCTGCCGATCGGCGCGGGCCCTCGCACCCCCCTTCCCCCGTGGAGTAGATCTTGGCTGTTTTGGGCGCCTGTTTCAAGCGGGTGGCCTCTCCCCCAGAGGAAGCACTGTTGCAAACAGTCGCAATCAGCAGAGGTCCGGAGCCAGACCCCTCCCCCACCCCCGGTTCCGCCCAATGTCGAAACGCCGAACTCGAGAACGTTCACTTTGCCCTGGGGAAGGCGTCGGGACATCTAAAACCCCGTGTTGATACAATCCCGCCAGCGGATGCCCGGGCCTGGCGTTTTTTGCCCTCCTCTCCGTGCCCCCATGGGAGGCTCCTCGTCGCCGCGGCAGGGGGTCCGCCTTGCGAAACGGGCCTGGAGGACCCCCCCCCGGGAGGGGCCCGGCGACTTCGAGCGGAGTTGGGGCGGGCGAAAGGAGGAGGAGGAGGAGGAGTAGGTGGAGGAGGAGGAGGTTGGATGAGGAGGAACAGGAAGAGGAGGAGGAGGAGCAGGAGGAGGAGAAGGAGCGGGGAGTGAGCCAGGAAGGATGAGGGGAAGGAGGAGGAAGAGGAGGAGGAGGAGGAGGACGAGGACGAGGATGACGAGGCCCAGGAGGAGCTGAACGGGGAGTTTCGAAGAAGAAAAAACGCCATAAACATGAACTCTTGGCGCTCCGCGCGAGTTTCTTGGATCCGCGCTGGGCCCCCCCGGCGGCGCCTCCGGCGCTGCCCCTGGCGCGCGGAGCGCGCCAGGGAGGGGGGCCCAGCGCAGACACAAGAAATCTGTACGGAGCGCCAATAGTTTATGTTTATGGCGTTGTTTCTCCTTCTAGAATTAATTGGCCCTTCTCCGAGAAAGGTGGGGGTGGGGTCCGCGGGCGGGAGGGGGAAAGCGTACTCGTCCGCCGGGCCTGCGATTTTCTTTTGCGCGACGTGTCAGCGAGACATCTCTCTGTTCTGAGGCACTCCTATCGGCGTCACCCCAACATTCTAATACTATATGTGCGTCGCCCCCCCGGGGGCGACGCGCACCGAGAAATCTCGTAGCACATGCGTCGTGGCGCGCGCTCTCTGGCCGTACCGCTCGGGGAACGATTTACAGCAAGACTAGTGAACTCTATGGTCGGGTCGGACGCACACCTTCAAGGCGGACATCTCGTGCTGGTGCGTCCTTCTGCGTCCCACTCTGTGGCGACGACTTCGCTCGCTGGTGGACGAGGATGCAGCTCGCGCCCGCGAGCCCAGCCTGGCAAACACCGAGCCCCCGTCGCCCATTCGTCGCCGGTCGGAGCTCGGGTGTCCCACCCCGCCCAGGAGCGGGCGCGTTCGCCATCGGGGGAGGACCTAGCCCCGATGTGTCCCCAATTCCTGGTCCACGTTCCCCCCATGAGCCAGTACGGTCGGACCGAGGTATAGGATCGAGGTCGGTTCGGGGAGGGTACGCTCGTGTTCTTCGTGCTTGTTGGATGTTCTTGTGCATCCTGGGGAGGGTACCCTTGGATCTTCTGTTTGTTTTGGGCGACGGAGGGTCTCATGTTTTTGAAGGATGCTCTTCTGGCCTAGGTTCGACTGTAATACCCCCCGTTTCTTCCGCCCCCCCGAGGAATGGAGCGGCTGCAGCCGCAGGCCCTTTGGGGCAGGAGCGTTCACCAAGCGAACGGGGGGTGTCCGACCGTCCTCCTCCACTCTTCTCTTCCTCCTCCTCCTCCACTCTTCTCTTCCTCCTCCTCCTCCTCCTCCTCCTCCTCCTCCTCCTCCTCCTCCTCCTGGTAAGCCGTCACCTGGGATTTCCTAGGGTGTGTGCCGATGATGTCGGAGCCGTACTTTTCCACTTTGTTGGTTTTGTGCAGATGGCTCGTATATTGAAGCTCGCGAGCGTGTTCGCTCGCCTGACTTTGAAATATTGTAAATGCCAGGTCGTCCCTCTGATAGGCGAGTTCTGCGACTCTCTGGTCATGGCCGCTCGGGAGTTCCTTTCCCGAGTCGATTCGGGTTGGGCGGAGTTCCGGATCCAGGGGAGTCTCACCTATCTCGGAGTGGAGCTCGGCCCATCTGCGTCGGTGGAGCTCCAATGGGATGCTCCCTGGTGTAAACTACGCGCACGTGTCCTCTCCGCCAGCCGCTCCACCGCAGATGGCGCTACGAACCTGTTCTACTACCACACCAGGTGTCTCCTGGTGCTAGCTTTTCCCGATAGACAGAAGCATGGCCATCCAAGAGCGTCACTTGTTCGCCTCCCTCTGGAGGTCCCCAAGTTCGATTATGTCTTGGGAGGGGTGGTTTGGACTTGGAGAGTTCGGAGGCCCTGCTTTCCAATCTATGTGGGCATACGGCGCCGCCACCAGGATGCGCGCCGCCCTTGTGTCGCTCCAGTCGTGGCCCGCAGAGATCCGACGTTTGCGCCGCGTCGTCTGGCAATTTGGAGCCCCCGCATGGCTTTCCACTCCCTCGCCCTCTATCGCCCTCCTCCTTGAATCTGCCGCCCAGGGTTTTCCATCGTCGGCCAGCCTGTCAGAACCAGGTCGTCAGTGCCTTTCTCTGTTCCAGGCCGGCCCGATCAACAGCGGCATCGGACACTTTACGGCAAGCAGGTCCCGTTGGCAATCACATTTTCAGGCGATATTTCAACAGGCTCTTTTTCGCCGCGTGATCGGGGCCACGCTGGATCGCAGGATCACCAAATGGTTTCTCCCGAGGTGCGGAGTGGGGCTGGTGGACTGGGGGGAGATGAGAACGGCCGTGCGACAGCTTCCGTTCGCGTGGCGTTCCTCCACTTTGAAGTCTTGGCTCGGCGTGTGGACCACTGCCCACCGAATGAGGCGGCCACACTCGGGCTGCATTTTCGGCTGCGGTTCGACTAGTGATTCAATGTCGCACTATGTCCTGGAGTGCCCGAAGCTTTCGACCCTTGTCTCGGTTGTTCTCTCTCGCGAGGTCCCCTGGGATCCCAGGGTCAAGCTTGGATTGTTTCGTGATATTGGTCGGGATGATTTCAATGTTGCGTTCATCGTATGTTACTTTTATGCCTTTCGGCTATTTTCCGCCCGTCACTGCACCGGGCTGGCTGCTCAGGACGTGCCACGGCTCGCTGAAGTTGTCAGGGTAGCGATTCGCCTTCCGCTGCTAGGGCTCCATGTAAGATGTTGGCCTCAGCGGTAATCTCTGAAGCGCACTGGCGGTGAACTTGTTGCGCCTCCAGGCCACGCTGCACCTCCTCCTCCTCCTCCCCCTCCTCCTCCTCCTCCTCCTCCTCCTCCTCCTCCTCCTCCTCCTCCTCCTCCTCCTCCTCCTCCTCCTCCCCCTCTCCCTCCCCCTCCTCCCCCTCATCCTCCATTTGGGCATGGCGTGCTGTGACTTGACCTCGCCCTCCTCCCCATCCACCCTTACCCGCCCCGTCGTCTTTTGCATCATCATCATCATCATCATCATCATCATCAGCAGCAGCAGCAGCATCATCATCATTATTATGAACATCATCATCAGCATCAACATTAAAATCATCAACAACATCATCTTCATCGGTTTCATCATCAGCATCACCAGCATTAACAACATTACCATCACCATCAGCAGCAGCAGCATCATGATCATCATCAGCATCATCTGAATCATCATCGTCATCTTCATCCTCATCCTCATCATCATTGTCATCATCGTCGGCGTCGTCGTCGACGTCGTCGTCATCGTCATTGTCATCATTAGCACAATCCGAACAATCCCCATCATCCGTTCAGATTAACTTCCTCATAGTGGACATCCTGCTCATCATTGTCATCCTCAACCTCCTCCCAATGCATCGTCCTCTGCCTCATCATCAATGATGATATAGCGCCTCGTCAGTGCGCCCCCATGCTTGGCTTGATCTCTGGTCTCCGCACACCATCGCTGTCGTGGCGAGCTCTAGGAGTTCTTATTTCTCCGTCAAGGAACTGGGCAGTGTGGGCGGTCTGGCGGCTATGTTCCCGCCGTCGCCGCCTCGTCGCCGCCCGTTGTCTGGGCCAGGTGGGCGGTCTGGCGGCTATGGTCCCGCCGTCGCCGCCTCGTCGCTGTCCGTCGTCTGGGGCAGGTGAGCGGCCTGGCGGCTATGTTTCCGCCGTCGCCGTCCGTCGCTGCCGTTGAGCTGCACCACATACACTGCACGAAAAAATGTATCGCACTACACACATTGGAAAAATATCCTGGCGAAGGACCCAACTACATGCAGTTGTGAGTATCGCCGTTGTGAGTACCGCTTTCGGTGGATATCCGTATGGGGCCACGAGACTTGTAAAGGGTGTGCCGAAATGGGGCGGGGCCACCATGCGAGCGCTGCCATTGGGGCCACCATGCGAGTGCTGCCACTGTGTATACCTCCCCCCTTTTATGGGGCAACGAAACGTGTGAGGGCTGTGCCGGGATGGAGCGGGGCCGCCATGCGAACGTCCCCACTGTGACCCTTCGGTGGAGTTCTCTATGGGGTCCACGAAGCGCGCGAGGGGTGTGCCGAAATGAGCGGGCAGGAAACATGCGAACGTCGCCATCGGGGCAGTCGATGGGCCTCCCTTGGGGCCACGGAGCGCGCGAGGGGTGTGCCGAAATGGGCGGGGGGGGATTCATGCTTTCACTCCTGAAAGGCCAGGAAACGCTGTACTGGGTGGGGCGGACGCATGCGAACGTCGCCACTGGGGCGTTCTGCGAACCTCCCTATAACCAACGAAACGATGTACTCCGTGGGGCGGACGCATGCGAACGTCACCACTGGGGCCTTCGGTGGAGCTCCCTTTGGGGTCACGAAGCTTTGTAATGGGTGGGTTGGACGCATGCGAACGTCGCCATTGGGGTATTCGGTGGACCTCCCTGTGGGGCCACAGCGCTTTCCTGGCCGGGGCGGACGCGGCGGGGTGGACGGATGCGACAATCGCCAGTGGGGTTTTCGGTGGAGCTCCCTATGGGGCCACGAAATACTTTACCGGGCGGGGCGGGCGCATGCGAACAACGTCATTGTCGCCTTCGGTGGAGCTCCCTATGGGGCCACGAAGCGTTGTATTGTGTGGGGGGCGGACGCATGCGAACGTCGTCATTGTAATCTTCGGTGGAACTTTCCATGGGGCCACGGAGCGTTGTATTGTGTGGGGCGGACGCACGCGAACGTCGATTTTGGCGCCTTCGGTGGACCTCCCCATGGGGCCACGAAGCGCTGTACTGTGTGGGGCGGACGCATGCGAAAATCGCAAGTGGGGCATTCGTTGGAGCTCCATTGGGGCCGCAGAACTTTGTATTGGGCGGGGAAAGAGGGAGCGAAGGAGGAAAGAGGAAAAACGCAGGGCGTTGTCACAGGATGTTTGAGAAAGTGATGCCTGTGGCGCGTCTCTCGATCGCTCACACCATCGATCGCACCACACAGGTTCTGTTTTGTAAAGTAGTAATTGATCATACCCCCCCCCCCCCCGAAATTAACGATCCACTCTTCCGTATTGCAATTTACATACGCTTCAACCCCGTCGTCCATCCGAAATATGAACTCTTACCATCCCAGCCAGTCCTGTATCGACACCCCCGCCACCCATTGCAAAAAAAATATGCGCACACTCCCTTTCTTCAAAAATCAGCAGTTTGTCATGTTCTTTTTGACAAATGGGACGAAGTGCACGCGCGCGCGTCGTCGCGCGCGCATGCCGGAATTCTTGGAGAGCGGTTGGTTTCGTAAGGATTACATACCGAGCGTCACGGAAGCAAATAAACACACATGGTGTTGCAATACAGATGTTCAAAAAAGTGTGTGTGTGTGTGTGTGTGTGTGCCCGCGCTCTTGCGAATGTTTCCAAACTGGCCTCTCGCGTGCGAATGTCGAACGCCCTTGCGCGCGCGCTGTCGCAACAATCCCTTGCAAAAACGGGACGATGTGCACATGCGCGCGTCGTCGCGCGCGCATACCGAAATCCTTCAAAATCTTTTGGTGTCGTACGAATTTGAAAATCCAGTGCCCCGAAAACATATACATCACACGGTTTTGTGACATCAGTTTTCAAAAAATAGTGCGCTCGTGCTCATGCGAATTCTTTATATAACTATATATACGTGTTTTTAGTATATATATATTATAATAATAATAATAAATAAATAAATAACAATATATATATATATATAAAAAAAAAAAAAAAAAAAAAAAAAAAAAAAAAAAAAAAAAAAAAAAAAAAAAAAAAAAAAAAAAACTTCCAGCATGTGCACCAAATTCTGCCAAACGGGCCTCTCGTGCCGCATGCCGAAGTGATTCGAACGCCCTTGCGCGCGTTGTGGGCGAGCACGATCCGTGTCAAATAACACCAAGCGGGCCAATTGCGCGCGTCGGCCGCGCGCATGTCGAACTCTTTTCAAAAACCTTCAACGCCAACGCGAGAACATCGTCATCGTTACCGGCGGGCGTGATCAACATCGGCGCCGTCAGTGGCTTTGGCGTCATCATCACCACCTCCGTCACCGTCGCTGCTTTCATGATCGTGTCTACCGTTGTCGGCGTCGCCATGATACCGGGCCCGCCCAAGTCACCGACTTGCATTGAAGTGGCAGCTGGGAATTGCCCAGCGGTCAGCGCCACCGCGTCCGCGTCGGTCGCGCCAAAGTAGGTGGCCGTTGTGTGCGCGAGCATGCGCGGGCTATCGCGACCGCAGAGATCCACCAGCCAACGCCAAGCACTCATCGCAATCGCCGCCGCATGGGTTGTTGCAAACATTGTGGGTGGGCGCGTAGGATGTTTGCAAGAGCACGGAATGTGTCATTTTTTGATTGCAGCACGTATTCTGCACCACATATGTTGCTTAATCACATCGCTTGCACCATATGGATTGCACCGCGTATATTGCACCACATAATTTGCACAGCTCATATTGCACAACAGCATAGATTGCAACATCTGTACATATATATATATATATACATATAGCACAGCAAAGATTACACCAAATGCACTGCACAGAATAGATTCAGCAACATAGATTTCACCGTTCAGAGTGCCCCACATAGAGCGCACCACATAAATTGCACAATGTGTTGTTTGTCGCGATTGCGGCGCGCTTTTTGATCGCTCACAGCATATTGCGTCACATCGGTTGCAACACATATGTCGCACAAATAATATTCCACCACACAGGTCGCACGACGTATGTTGCATAACTAATATAGCACCAAAGACTGCACAGTCGATGTGCCTAGATGTAGATACGCACAACACCGTTCGCTAGAAGCACATTGTTTGGGGCCCACGCCGGCTAGCCTATATGCGATGCTTTTCGCCGAACATTGTCTCAGTAGCAGAGCACTCGCAATTCATAGTGTTCCTGCCATCTCGTCCGGCATCACGGAGGATTTCGCGGGTCGGGCGTGCAGAGCCCGAGGAAGAGACCACCCCGATCGACTACGATGGCGACAATGAGGACCAGAGGCCCAGGCCAGCGACGCCCAGGGCTTCGATCGACAAGAGCTCGAGGCCTTCGCCACGGAGCCCGAGGACGCCGACATCGACCCCTCCGTAGACCAGACGGCAGCTCTCGAGGAGGCCGCGCCCCAGGTCTCCCAGCTCCCAGAGGCGCTCGAGGTCATCAGGGACGTTCGGGGCTCGATGTTCGCCGGCCGCTTCTGCAAGTCAGGCGGCAAGCATCGAGCACGCGGAGGAAGCCGTGGCGCCCGATTCCCAGGCGCCCGTGGCCAGAGACCTCCCCCGAAGCCAGACAGGGCCGCGAGCTCGCCGACTAGCCGAAGGCAAGGGAGAAGAAGTCCACCTGCAAGGCTTGCGGCCACGTGGGCCACTGGGCTGGCGACCCAGAGCGCCGCGGCCCTGGGAACAGCGAGCCACGGCGATCGGCGACTCGGACTCTGGCAAAGCTACTCTCGCGGATTCGACGGACCCAGACGAGAGCTCTAGGGAAGCCGCCGAGCAGAAGATCAACGACCGGCAGGTGATCTAGAAAAAAATGGTCCGCCTGGTCACGGATCACTTCAGAGGCGCGGCCAACATCGCGTGCGCCAGATCCGCGATGGGCAACGAGCGGCGGGGGGCCCACCTGGAGGCGGCAAGGGAGTTCGGCACAGACAACCTCATCGAGCGCGAGGACATATGCGAGAAGTTCGTGTTCGGTGGCAGAGGCGCGCCCATGTCCTACGAAGCGTTCAGGCCCCCTGCAGCGGTAGCAGCCATACCAGTACTTGCGCGAGCCTGCGTGGTCACAGCCCATCCTGCTCATCGGTCGCGACTTCCTCGAGTCTGTCGGCGCCAACATAGACGTCAGGCGAGAGAAGCTGACCGTCGGCCCATTTTCTGAGCGGCTGCTGGACCACGGAAACCGCCATGTCGCCTTCGAGCTCAAACCGGGAAAAATCACGCGCTTACGAAAACATACTCAGGCAAGGAGGAGCTCCCGCCCATGCCAGGACATCCTGCACGTTCCATGGCCCAGTCCCGAGGCCGCATGGGCACCCTGATCCTAAAGGCGTTCGCGATTGCAGCGTCCATGCGTTGCGCGAAGGCCGACGCTCGCGTGTCAAAGGCAGCCAGACGCCTCGAAGTGCGGGACCTCCCCACGGGAGTAAAGTCGGGACTTCCCTACGGGGATCGAGTCGTCGCCGACGCATGCCAGACAGAGAGCAGGCCGGCCAGGGAGTGGTTGGCAGAAAACGGCCCGGGATCCAGCCAGAACGAAGCGGGCCTTGACATAGACGACCTCAGCCAGCGCAGCATCTCCATCGGTGGCGGCACCCCATGGAGCGCGCTCGATTTGCTGCGTGACGGGCGCCCTCTACCAGTGCAAGATTTGTCTGGCGGGGACCTGCTCATCGCGCTTGCGCGGCGCCCAGTGCTCGAGGCGATACCACGGCGCGGACAGCAACGCATCGGGGATCGGCAGCGGCGCCGAGTTCGCGGCGCAGCATTAGGCCCGGAGGAAACAGAGGGCCAGCACAGCCTCTCCGCACAGGGCAGGGCCGCGGCAGGCGAGCACACTACATCATAATCCACGGCCAGCGCCCGCGAAGCGGACCCTCGACATGCAGCTCAACGATATTTTAGTCTTGACTTCCTCAAGTGCCATCGGAGAGTCACGCGCCCGGACGCCGGGCAGCTACTGGAGAATTGCCGCGAGAAGGACAGCTCGCTCAGCCAGGAGCGGTCGCGCGCCAGTGGCCACGCACAGCATGTTGGATTCTTTGGTTTAGACTTACGCCGACTACTCGACGCAGGGAAGGCCCCGGAGATCCTGGATGGAGGGGCGGCGTCGCAGGGCAGCCCGCGCCGTCGCCGCTGGCCCGGACTCCAGAACTTCGCGAAGCGCGAGGCCCAGGTCGCGTCGGCCGCGCCGAGAGCCGAGGAGTGATCAAGCTGTTCGTCGGGCTGGCGAGGCGAGCTATTCCGCGGGGCGCCCTAGTCGCCATCGGGTGGCCCTGGCAACGTCACGGCCGGAGCGGGCCTGAGGTCGCGGAGTTGCGGCGGCTCTTTCTTGGCGAGCGCGGATTCGACGGCACCGCCCTGGGCCCCGCGGGCGAGCGGACGGGCCAGCACGTCAAGAAGCCGCGGAGGGCGCCCACGAAGCTTGCAGTCGCTGCAGAGGCCCCTGAGAAGGAGGTGCCCCGGCACATCGCCACATCGACCGCCGCGAGTTCAACGGCCGCAAGTCCAAGAGGACGGGTCTGCATTCGAGCTATACGCAGAGCAATCGCGAAGGGCTTCACGCGCAACACCGCGGATGTCAACTACATCCACGGTCGCGACGAGCAGCGGCGACGCGGAGGGCGGGGGCGCCAGCGGCGACCCCCGGGGCATCTCCGCCGAAGTCCAGTCCGAGCAGCGCGTCGTGCTGATCAGGGCCGCGGGCAAGGTGCCCGCCAACTCGGACATCCAGGCAACTGGGCGCTGGCTCGGGCGATCCGTCTGGCTGGAGGCTCGAAGCACGCCATCGCAGCAGCACTTGTCCGCACTTGCCCCGCCCGCCCCACGCGCAAGGCGCCACCGTCCACGACGGCGACCTCACGACGAGAAAGATGGAGGAAATTCTGAGACCGCCTAGCCGTCGACACCTTCGAGCTCGCAGACGCGCAGGGGGTCTACCAGACGTTCCTGAATCAGATCGACATGGCGACCAAGTACCAGATCGCGGTGCCGGCCGCCTCGCGCAAGCCCACCTTGATTTGGCAGGCCACGCTGGACAGATGGCCCCGCGCACTCAGCGCCCCCGTCGCGGCGACGACGGACACAGCGGCCGAGCTCGAGCGCGAAGTCAAGGAGAAGCACGAGAACATGGGATCGAAGATCATGTCGAGCGCCGCCTACAACCCGACGCAGAACGCCATCTGCGAGAGGCACAGCCAGACCTGGAAGGCCCATGCTCGAGCTCTCGCGCCAGAGTGCCGCATCTCCTTCGACAAGCCGGAGCAGCTGCAGTGACTCGCGGCAGCCATTAATCACGCGGTGAATTCAACGGTGGGCATGTCAGGCCACTCGCCTTCTCAGTGGTTTCCGGGCCGAGGCATCCGTCTGCCGCGCAAGCTCCTAGGCCAGCACGGCAACCTGAGGATACTCCAGCGCGCGCTGGACGACAGCGAGCCCAGCTTTCGCGAGCGCATGAACGCGCTGAGCGCGGCCCAGAGGTCGGCGGCCGCCCTGGAGGCCAACCGCGAGATCAGCGAGGCGCTCCTTGCTACGAGCCGCGCATCGACCACGGACCCAGAAACTTCCACGCACCAGGTGGGCGACCAGGCACTCCATTGGAGAGACCTCGGCAAGGCCAGGGCGAAGAAGCACCGGGCTGCGCGCTGGCACGACTCGGCCGTCGCCGTAAGCCACGGGGCGAACAATCTCTAGCTGGCCCGCCGCAACCTCACGATCAAGGCCTCGTCTCGACACGCACGCGCAGCCGACGCTGCGGAGGCGGTCGATTGGAAGGGCGCCCCCGGGCGCTGGACTCGGACGATCAAACCCGCCCCCCCCCCCGCACCTGGAGCTGGAGAAGACAGCGCGGACATGGAAGCGGCCAATGGAAGCGGGCCCCAGGACTCCCCAGCTCGGCAAGAATCCACAAGCAGACCACAGATACGACGACTCCTTCCTGTCATGGCCTCCGATGGCCACAGAGCACTACCGCCAGCCGCAGCGCCCCACGGACCGGCCACACTTCGCGACGGCGCGCCGCCACGAAGAAGGAGACACATCGACTGGAACGCGAAGGCCGCCAGGCCGAGACCGACGCCGCACCCGCAGCTCATGGCCGAGGGCCTGGCGCACCCGCCAGAGCCAGACGAGCAAGTGGCCTCGCTGCCTGCGCAGTCGACGCCCCCCCCAGAGCAGCTGCGAGCGAAATTCGAAGAGGAAGAGACACCCCAAATGCATGACGATGGTGACGGCGAACCTCGCATCCCAGATCATCCCGACCCAGATCTAGAAGAGGCGCCCGACCGCTTCGAGGGCGAGGACACTCCCCAGCTTCCTGCCAGTCACGCAAACGGAGACGCTGATCAAGAATACGAGGTGGATCTCGGAGCAGAGGCCGATGAGGTCCCCTTCGAAGACGCGAATCCATCGGCGATCGACCCCGAGCACGGCCAGATCGACGAAGACGGGGCACCGTTCCACGACAGCGCGGGGGCTCAGCCCTGGCATCAAGAGAGCCAGGGCCCCACAGCTGCAGCGTCGCCGAGTGGAGCTGCCGGATCGGGAGCGACGCCGTTTCGATCAGCACCCAAGCAGCAGCGCACCAGGAAGAAGCGCTTCGACCACCTTGACGACGCACCGCTCAGTATACGAAAGGGCGGTCCCCAAGTCGTCGGCCTGGGCCGCCGCTTGTTCAATCCTGCCCTGGTCGAGATCAAGCGGGGCTGCCACCCGCCAAGGGCCCGAGACGCACTCTCGCACTGCAGGGAGGGCACACGCGGCTGCCACCTCGCCAACGGGGCCTGCTCTACGGAGGTCGACCTGGACACGGTCTCGGGCGACGACGTCCGAGAACTGCCGGCGTCGACAGAGGGCGGACGCGAGGAGTGGGTCGCCCGCGAAGCCAGCCGGCGCCCGATAGGGGCCCTAAATTGCCCTTGCAGGGCGTTGCTCTTCAGCCCCCATTTGGGCCACCCCCCATTACCACCCGCCCGGGAGGCCAGTGGGCTTCTGCGAAGCCCCACCGCCTCCTGAGAAGGCATTCTCCTTTCATCAGGAGGAAAAGAAACACACAGACACAATGAATCCTCGATTCCCCCGAAAATATGGGGAAATATGGGAAGTGGGGGGTGGAAGACAGAAACCCCGAAAATCTAGGAAATTATATGGGGAATATGTTTTTATTTGTGTGCATTTATATTTGTGTGTCCCAGCTTCCCTTCCGCGAAGCCCCACCGCCTCCTGAGAAGGCCTTCTCCTTCTGGCGCCGCATGGTCGCTCGCCGCCGAAAAAAGGGGCGAGGGCCCGCTGGCCAGCGGTTGAGGGGGGGGGCGAGACGGGGTCCGCTCCGCGTCATCGGCGCGCAGGGTGGATAGACTCCTCCTCCTCCTCCTCCTCCTCCCTGCTCCTCCTCCTCCTGCTCACTGCTCCTCCTCCTCTTCCTCCTCCTCCTCCTCTTCCTCCTCCTCCTCCTCCTCCGTTACGCCCTCGCGCGCGCGGACATCTCCCCTCCTCTTCCGGCCCGCGCAGGGTTGATAGACTCGGGGGTTGCCAAAGGGGCCCCCAGCCAAAGGTGCCTGCAGCTTTGGGCCCCCTTTCCCCAGACCCCCTCGAGTTATGAAAAAATCACGACGGGAGGTTTTTCATTACTTTTGGCCTCTGGGGGGCCCTTACCGGCCCTCGGGACCGTCAAAAAACGACTCAGGACGAAAAAACGGTCCTGGGGAATGGGTCGAGACCTCGGGGGGTCGACGTCATGAAAAAAACATGACGTCGGGGGTCTGGGTCTGGAGCACCCGGGGTCCCCTAGGCCTCGTCAGGGGCGCTCCGTGGGCCGCGGGGGGCCACCATTGGATTTTTTGGGGCCGGGGGCGCTTCAAGCAGCACCCGACATACCATCAACCCACATAGCATGGCTGGGCAATCTTCCCTAGGGCGCCTCTGCACCCTGCCTCTTCGCCCCATCCTTAGCGATTTTCGCTGGGAAGCCTCGCTCGACAAAACGTCCACATGGGCCTCCACGGCCTTTGCATCCTTACCGCGCATCCTTATGATACGGGTTGACTGTATAGCGCGCAGGGTCAGGAAGTCAGGGTCTGGGCTCGGGCCAAGCTAAGAACTGTTCAGGATTGGGGTTTTACGAGTAAGGTGTTGAGCTTTGCTGTGTCAGGGCTTAGGATTGGAATTCGCGGTCATGGAAAAAGGCACGGGTAGCAGAGTTCGGATGTTGGGTTCGGGTTCAGTGTGTCAGGGTGTAGGTGCTAAGGTTTAGATTCAGTGTTAGTGCTTAGAGGTAGCGTCAGGGTGCTAGGGCCCAGGGTTAGTCATCATATTCAAGATTCTACTTAGGGTGTAAGACCAGTCGTTAGGGCTAGAGTTTGTGCGTTAGGGCAATCGTGCTAGGCTGAACACAGGAATAGGGTTCGGGTCGGGTGCTGAGCAGAGGTGTGGGAGCTAAAGGATTCGAGTTAGGGTGCGAGGGTTTAGGCAATAGGGTTTGGGTACAAGGTTTATATTATTTCGGCTTAAACTGTACGGTCAAGGTCGGGTTCGAGGCGCAGGTTTCGGGTGTTCGGTTCGGGAAGTACGGTCAGGAGATAGAAGCGTTAGTGAGGAAAGGAGGAGAGACAATTCCTGGCCCGAAAGGGGGTGGGGGCAAGGTTCAACCTTCGGCTTGACAGGGGGGAGAACCCTGTGCAAAGAAGGAGGCGGGGGGGGGAGCCTGGAAGACAGGATGGTCAAAGGGGGCGGGGCCGGGACGGCTGACCAGACAGAGAGGAGAAGGACCGGGCGGCGCTCCAGCCCCTGCCCCCGTTTTTGTCGCCACCAGCGGCGCGCCCTCCTGCAGTTCCCCTCCTTTCCGCGCCCCCTCCTCTCTGGCGTCGTCGCCGTCGCCCTCCTCGGGAGGGCGGAGGGAGGCCAGAGAGGAGGCGAGCCTCGCCCCCGCACCAGGTGCGACGGCGGCCAGCAGCTGCGCGTGCGGGTGGTGGCCCAGCAGGCGGAGTACGGGGGCAAGCCCTGCAGCGGCTCCGGCGGTGCGGCGCTGCCGCTGCAGGTGACGAGGCCCTGCAACTCGGAGCCCTGCGAGGGTGCCGCGGAGCCCCGCGACTGCGAGCTCGGAGAGTGGTCCGAATGGTCCAGGTGCCGCGGGACGCCAGGCCATCCACTTGCACCCGCCCCCACCAGGCCGAACTTGGGCCCAGGGTAGGCACACCTGTTCGAGGACGAAGGAGACAAACTGGATAAGCATCAACTGTCGAAGCTCCGCGAGGACTTCTCGGATCGGCGCTAGACGCCCCCCGGCGTCGCCTGCAGCGCGTTCCGGTCGCCAGGGAGGGGGGTCCAGCGCAGATCCAAGAAATCCGTGCGGACCTCCGAAAGTTGATGTTGAAGCCGTCACTTGTTCCTCGATGCAAGCAGGCCGGGTTCCGGGCTCAAGGCTGGCCTTGGTTGGGACAGGCGCAGGGCTGGCGTCCTTGGAAGGTGCGTGGAGAGGGACATGTATGGCGGGAGCACCAGGCGAGCCTCTGATCGCAGGGTCTCCAATTTGTTTGCGCTTCGCGTATCCCCACCAGCCCATCCAGAAACAATCCCCAGGCGACGTGCTTTGGTCAGGAAATCGTAGATGCTCGCAGTGGAACAGAGAGGAGGGGGGGGGGGGGCGACATCTGTCAAGCCGAAGATGGGGATCAGCCCTCAGCAGACCCAGGAGCCGAACAGATCGTTATTAAGGCCGTCGCAGAGCTTTCGGTTCTGGAGCCGCCTGAAGACTTCTTGTGGCCATCTTTGGGCGGCGTTGTGGCCATCTGAGAGGCCTTGGTGGCGTTCCTCGGCCCCCCTCGAAAAGGGGGGCGGCGCCGAGTAGCACCGCCCCTCTGGAGCCAGAACAAGCTCTCAAAAGGGGCTATCTTGGGAAGATCCTGGGGCCGTCTTGTGGTCCTCGCGGGCCCCCTCGGGCCTCTCTGGAGCTCTCTTGGACGATCTCGGAGCAATCCTGAGCCTTCCGAGTCCCAGCGGGAGCGAAAAAGCGGGAAGGCGAAGCATGTGAAACAGCTTGCGGTTTGAATGGCTTGGACTTCTTTGAAACATCCTTGGGAGGTTCCGTGGCCATTTGGAGCCATCTTGTGACAGTCTTGGGGCCTCGTGGAGGCATGCTAGAGGCCGTCCAAAGCCGGCTTGGAACCGATTGCGCCATCTCAAAGACCAGCTTAGGACATCTGGCCCCCGAAAGGTCAAGATCATTCAAAAACGCTTGATTCCCGTTTACGGAAAAGGAGGCGACGCCGATTAGTAAGCACCGCCACGTTGGAACCAGAAAATATCATCCTCTCTTGGGGCGTTTTCGAGGGCGCCGCTTCGGGGCCTGGTGGTTTCTTGGGCAGGCCTCAGAGACCCATCGGAAGCGACAAGGTGAGAAGGCGGAACGTATGGAAGTAAAACGATTGGTATTTCAAGCAGTGCGGCCTCTCGTTGGTCTCCTTGGGACGCTATGTGTTCACTTCGAGCCGTCTTGGGACGTCATGTGGTCTCTTGGAGGCATCTTGGATGTCATAGTGAGCCATATTGGGCTAGATTGAGCCACATTGGGCTATATGAGGCCATCTTGCAGTCATCTTGGGCCAGTTCGTACGTTCTAACGCATCACGCTCCCTTCTCCGACCATACCACGGGAAAGATGGGTGTTGGAAGGACAAACTCCTTAAACCACCTCCGCCCAGATGGCTGTTGGGATAACCCGGGGAGGCCCTGGGAGAACGAAACGGACAGTGGGCGGGCAGGCCAGACTGCGGCCAGCAACGGTGGGAGCGGGCTAGCTAACTCTGGTGTTGTTTCCTGTGCCGCTTGGCCAGGCCTGTCTGACTGCTCCAGAGTCCTGGGAGGGGGGGGCTTGGGATGCCGAGCGATCACGGAGGCAGACGCAGAAGTACCGCTCGCGCGAGGTGGTCACCCCCGGCGCCTTCGGCGGCAGCCCCTGCGGCCAGGAGCTGGAGCAGGTGGCGCCCTGCGAGGTGGCGCAGGACGACTCTCCCGCCCCGGAGGCCGGCGCAGACCGAGTGGACGAGGCGGCGGACTGCCAGCTGTCCGAGTGGACCCCGTGGACGCTGTGCGACAAGACCTGCGACAGCGGGCAGACCATGCGCACGCGCAGGGTGGAGGTCCCCGCCAGCGGCGGAGGCAAGCCGTGCGGCGGCGAGACGCTCCAGACCATGGGCTGCAACGAGCACCCCTGCAGCGTGGACTCGGAGGGCCGAGACTGCCTGCTGTCGACCTGGGAGGACTGGTCCGCCTGCTCCGCGCAGTGCGGCGAGGGCGTCGAGAGCCGCGGTCGATCGGTGCTCGCACCCGCGCTGGAGGGGGGCCAGGGCTGCAACGGCGCGCTGGAGGAGGCTCGGCCCTGCCGGCACGTCGAGAACTGCACCAAGCAGGACTGCGCCTGGAACGAGTGGTCTCAGTGGGGCGCGTGCACCAAGACGTGCGACGGGGGGCACCGCAACCGCTCTCGCAGCGTCAAGGCGCACCCAGCCTGGGGAGGCAAGGCCTGCGAGTCGCCTGGCAGCGTCAGCGAGGTGGAGGCCTGCGGGAACGAGCCGTGCGAGACCGAGGAGTGCGTCGACGGGGAGTGGGACAGCTGGGGGAGTTGGGGCGACTGCTCCAGGTCCTGCGGAAGCGGCATCCAGTGGCGCCACCGCAGGGTTCGGCGCGAGGCCTCGCCGTGCGGCAAGAGCGCCGAGGGCCTGGCCGCGGAGGTGCGGGGCTGCGAGGCGGGCCCGTGCGAGGGCGACCAGGACTGCGTACTCAGCACGTGGACGGAGTGGTCCGGCTGCTCCACCAGCTGCGACGGCGTACAGTCGCGCACCCGCAAGATCTCCGTCCCAGGCAGCGGCGCGGGCAAGTACTGCGTCGGCGACGGCAAGGGCGACGGCAAGGATGCCGCCGCCGCCTTGCGGGAGGTCCGCTCTTGCAACAGCCCAGAGGACCTCCTGGCGCAGGCAAGCGCCCCAGGCTTCGCGGACATCATCCAGGCGTGCGGCTTCGGCGAGAAGGTCGACTGCGCCGTGGGCTCCTGGTCCGACTGGGCCGAATGCACCAGGACGTGTGATGGCGGACAGCGTTCCAGGAACCGCACCATCGCCACGCCAGCGGCCAACGGCGGAAGCCCGTGTGCTGGTGCGCTGGACGAGACTGGCGTGTGCGGCGAGGAGCCGTGCCAGGAACCCTCGGACTGCGCGTGGCACGATTGGAGCGACTGGGGCAGCTGCAGCCGCTGCGACGGCGAGCGGCACCGCGGCCGGCGCGTGGCCCGGCTGGGCAACCGGGACGGCAGGCCTTGTGAGGCGGGGGATTCCCAGGAGGTGCAGCCGTGCAACGAGTGCCCCGAGGTGAAGACGTTTTGGTGCGTGTGGGACGACTGGAAGGTCGTCGGCGAGTGCTCCGCGACTTGCGGCTCGGGTGCGCAGCGCCGCGTCCGGCGGCTGACTGCCACCGAGGTCGCGTCTCCCGCGGCGGTCGGCAACGTCACCGGCTCCGCAGCAGCGTGCTCTGGCTCCGAGGCGGACTATCAGAGGTGCAAGGGCTTGCCGCCGTGTGGCAAGCAATGCAAGCCGCGGAATTGTACCTTCGCCGATTGGTCCGACTGGTCCCAACCGTCCTGCAGCGGCCTCTGCTTCCGCGAGCGCTCGGTGAAGCGGGAGGCGAACGAGTGCGGCAGCCCTTGCTCAGGAGAATTGGCATCCACCAAGCTGTGTCACAATACCTCCTGCGACGCTGAGCAGGACTGCTCGAGATCGGACTGGTCGGCTTGGACAGAGTGCACGGGCACAGAGGGCCAGCGCCTGCGCCGGCGCCCGATCGCCACAGAGGCGGGGCCCCTCGGGCGTGCCTGCGCCGGCTCCACAGCAGAGACCGAGCCCTGCGCACAGCCAGAGAGTGCCGAGCCAGATACGGATTGCAAGCTTTCCGAGTGGAGCCCCTGGGCGGAGTGCTCGAAGACGTGCGGCGGCGGCGGCGGCCAGAAGCGGTCGCGCGAGGTGATCGCACACGCCAAGGGCGGCGGTGCGCCCTGCGAGGGCTCCCTGGAGACTGTCCGCCCCTGTGGCACCGATCCTTGCCCAGCAGGCGAATGGGACGCGGACTGCCGGCTAGGAGGCTGGTCGGACTGGACAGGTTGTGGACCAGACGACGGCTCGCAGGAAAGCAGTCTACAGGCTTTCCGCACACGCGCTGTGACGCCCGCGAAGGGGCGCGGCCGCCCCTGCGAAGGCTCCACGAAGCAAGCGGGGCCGTGTCCCTCGCTGCGGAGGGCCGACTGCCGCTTCGCCGAGTGGGCCCCCTGGGGCGAATGCGGCCGGAGTTGCGGCGGCGGCCAGCGGTTCCGCACGCGCGAGCTGCTCTCGGAGGCGATGTTCGGCGGCGCGGCCTGCGAGGGGTCCATGAGCGAGTCCGAGCCGTGCAACGAGGACCCGTGCGACGCCGATCTCGACTGCCGTGCCTCTGACTGGTCAGAGTGGTCGGCGTGCACCGAGAAGTGCGGCCAGGGGCACCAGGTCCGCGAGCGCGAGGTCGAGAAGGCCGCTAAGCCCGGCGGGGCCGGCTGCAGCATGGGACTCCTGGAGGTGACCGGCTGCATCGGGCCGGGCTTCGACGGCGAGGGGGGCGGCTGCGACAACAGCACCGATTGCGAGTGGGGCGAGTGGCAGGAATGGGGCGAGTGCCAGCAGGCGCAGCTGTGCGGCGTTGGCTTCCGGCGCCGATCGCGCGAGGTGGCCCTCCTCTTCCTCCTTCTCCTGCTCATTATCATCTTCCTCCTCCTCCTCCTCCTCCTCCTCCTCCTCCTCCTCCTCCTCCTCCTCCCAGTACTGGCGCTCCTCCTCCTCATCATCATCCTCCTCCGTCTCCTCCTCCTCCTCCTCCTCCTCCTCCTCCTCCTCCTCCTCCTCCTCATCCTCCTCCTCATCATCATCCTTCCCCATTGGCGGAGGTGGCCGTCCAGCCGCAGGGGAGCGGTAAGCCCTGCTCGCCCCTTGCCAAAGAGGAGGTTCGGCCTTCCAAGGACTCCTGGGCCCAGAGATCGAGAGGACCTCGCACCCCCCTGCGTTCCTCCGCCCCCCTCCCCCTCCCCCTGCGCACGCGCTCGACGCTCCCCACCAGCCGCCCCTCCCTCATGCCCCAAGCGGTGTTCCCCCACCCCCCTTCCTTCCCTGCCCCCCTCCCCCCCCCCTCCTCCACACACCCTCCCCCTGCCTTCCCTCTCCATCCCCCCTCACCGCCGTCTTCTCTCCCTTCCCTCGCTCCCCTCCCGTCCCCATCCCTCCCCCTCGCTTCTCCATGCCCTTTCCCCAAACCTCCCCTCTCCACACACCTGCCCATCCACCCTCCCGCCTCCACCCCTCCCCTTCTCTGGGGGGAGGGGAGGGGGGCGGAGGTAACGATTATGGTATTTCTCCTCGGGAGATCTGCTCCCTCGTAAAAACCGAAACGATGCCAGTGACGTGTCGTTGGAAGATCGAGTCAGTGCCTTCCTCGTCGGGAGCGGGAAAGTCTTCACCACCAGGCCTCCACGGGCCCGATCGAGCCCCCAGATCTTGGTGGATATCGGTTCCCAGCCAGGCTGGGAAACCATACCCGCCAATATTCAGGAGGGGAAAAAACACACAGACACAATTAATCGGCGATTCCCAGAAAATATGGGAAAATATGGGAAGTGGGGGGGAAGACAAAAACCCAGAAAATATGGGAAAAGATCGGGAAACTTTTTACTTGTGTGTATTTATTTGTGTGTCCCAGTTCCCCTTCAAATATCTTGGATCTGAGCGGGCTTGTGAGAGGGTGGTCGTGGTCGTGCCAGGGCACTCGCCCCCTTGCCCGGCTGTCCATCCTGAGCGGTTTTGCTCACGGCCCGAAGGCTGGAAAACTGTCTCCAGGGGCCAAAAATGTCGATCAGCTCGCCGCCACCATGTCTGGCGTCGCCGAAACAATCGATGGGCGCTGTCTAGACATCTGCCGATGTGACTTTTCCAGCCGCGGCCCGGGAAGGTTCCGACCGCGTCCCTGGGGACAATCGCTCGTCCCAGATCCATGTGTCGATGGTCCTAGGGCCCGCTGCTGCCGTGGCGATATCTTGCGTCGCCCAGATCTCTGGAGGTAGGGAACGAGTGTGGTGTAAAGGGGTGTGGTGCCAAAGCTGGATTTGGCGAGGTTACCTATCGTAGATAGCACTGCCATGTCCACGATTGGCACCGCACCCTTTACGCCACACCCCTTTCCAGCCTCCAGAAAACCTCAGCGCGCCGACCCCCCTCCTCCAAAACTCACCCCCGACCTCCGCCGGCTCCGTCCACGGCCCCAGGAGGTCTCGGCCGCTTCCCCGGGGGCAGCCCCACGCCCGCGCCGGAGGGCCCGCGGGGCCCCGAGACGGCCCCCCCCCCGGAGAGCAGATGTCGACGAGCAAAACAAATATCCCAGTGCGACCCTACCTAGGAGTTGGAGCCCCTAGGAAAGCAACATCCGTAGGAGCGGTACACGCCGTCCTCCTCCTTCTCCTCATCGCCGCAGTGGTAGCAGCAGCGACAGTAGCAGTAGACGACGAGCAAAAAAATACCCTGTGACGTACCCAACCCATTTGTATCATGGGAAACGAGGAGTTGACCGAAACTTGCATGGACAATCAAATTGCAGGATCCGTTGTTTGATATGTAAGCTACTTGGGACACGCGCCTATGGCATGATGCGCAGGAGAACCATACAAGAAAGAAGGGCAACAGCTACAGGCTCGAAGAGGACATGGGGAGACGGGAGCGAAGAGCAGGAGAAAGACGTGCGGGAAGCCCACTGTGCTGGGCCCCTCAGCAGCCCTCGAAAGTGGCGACAGTTTCACAGATCGCAGCCCCCCAGGGATGGCGAGGTCCCATTTGAGTCTGCGGTGAGTACCCACTGTGCTGGGCCCCTCAGCAGCTCTCGAAAGCGGCGACAGTTTCACAGATCGCAGCCCCCAGGGATGGCGAGGTCCCATTTGAGTCTGCGGTGAGTACCCACTGTGTTGGGCCCCTCAGCAGCCCTCGAAAGTGGCGACAGTTTCACAGATCGCAGCCCCCCAGGGATGGCGAGGTACCATTTGAATCTGCGGTGAGTACCCACTGTGCTGGGCCCCTCAGCAGCCCTCGAAAGTGGCGACAGTTTCACAGATCGCAGCCCCCAGCAGCCTTTGAATCCGCCGTGAGTACCCACTGTGCTGGCCCCCCCAGCAAGCCTCGAAAGTGGCTGCAGTTTCACAGATCGCAGCCCCCCAGGGATGGTGAGGTCTAATTTGAATCAACCGTGAGTACCCACTGTGCTGGGCCCCCCAGCAGCCCTCGAAAGTGGCGACAGTTTCACAGATCGCAGCCCCCCAGGGATGGCGAGGTCCCATTTGAATCCGCCGTGGGTACCCACTGTGCTGGGCCCCCCAGCAGCCCTCGAAAGTGGCGACAGTTTCACAGATCGCAGCCCCCCAGGGATGGCGAGGTCCCATTTGAATCCGCCGTGGAGTGCCCACTGTGCTGGGCCCCCCAGAAGCCCTCGAAAGTGGCGACACTTTCACAGATCGCAGCCCCCCAGGCAGGCCTTTGAATCCGCCGTGAGTACCCAGTACCCAGAGTTTCACAGATCGCAGCCCCCCAGGGATGGCGAGGTCCATTTGAATCCGCCGTGGGTGCCCACTGTGCTGGGCCCCCCAGCAGGCCTCGAAAGTGGCGACAGTTTCACAGATCGCAGCCCCCCAGGAATGGCGAGGTCTAATCTGAATCCCCGTAGGACGTCACTCCGCTGGGCCCCCCAGCAGCCCTCGAAAGTGGCGACAGTTTCACAGATCGCAGCCCCCCAGGGATGGCGAGGTCTAATCTGAGTCCCCGTAGGGCGTCACTCCGCTGGCCCCCCCAGCAGCCCTCGAAAGCGGCGACAGTTTCACAGATCGCAGCCCCCCAGGAATGGTGAGGTCTAAGCTGAATCCCCGTAGGACGTCACTCCGCTGGGCCCCCCAGCAGCCCTCGAAAGTGGCGACAGTTTCACACATCGCAGCCCCCCAGGGATGGCGAGGTCTAATCTGACTCCCCGTAAGGCGTCACTCCGTTGGGCCCCCCAGCAGCCCTCGAAAGTGGCGACAGTTTCACAGATCGCAGCCCCCCAGGGATGGCGAGGTCTAATCTGAATCCCCGTAGGGCGTCACTCCGCTGGGACCCCCAGCAGCCTCGAAAGTGGCGACAGTTTCACAGATCGCAGCCCCCCAGGGATGGCGAGGTCTAATCTGAATCCCCGTAGGGCGTCACTCCGCTGGGCCCCCCAGCAGGCCTCGAAAGTGGCGACAGTTTCACAGATCGCAGCCCCCCAGGGATGGCGAGGTCTAATTTGATTCCGCCCGTGGCGTCACTGTGCTGGGCCACCCAGCAGGCCTCGAAAGTGGCGACAGTTTCACAGATCGCAGCCCCCCAGGGATGGCGAGGTCTAAATTGAGTCTGCGGTGGGTACCCACTGTGCTGGGCCCCCCAGCAGCCCTCGAAAGTGGCGACAGTTTCACAGATCGCAGCCCCCCAGGGATGGCGAGGTCTAATCTGAATCCCCGTAGGTCGTCACTCCGCTGGGCCCCCCAGCGGCCTCGAAAGTGGCGACAGTTTCACAGATCGCAGCCCCCCAGGGATGGCGAGGTCTAATCTGAATCCCCGTAGGACGTCACTCCGCTGGGCCCCCCAGCAGCCCTCGAAAATGACGACAGTTTCACAGATCGCAGCCCCCCAGGGATGGCGACCGCAGGCGGGAGGAGGCGGGAAGGAAGGAAGGAAGGAAGGAAGGAAGGAAGGAAGGAAGGAAGGAAGGTGGAGACCGCAGTGCTCTATTCAAAACGAGTACCCAACACAGGAGGGTTGGGAACAAAAAAAGACGAGCAACAAAAAAAAACCTTGAAACAAGGCAGGTCGTCGGAGCTCTGGGGCCCCGCCCGCCCCCCGAGCCCCGCGCCGGCCCCACGCCCGCGTCGGAGGGCCCGCGGGGCCCCGAGACGCCCCCCCCCCCGGAGAGCCGAGGTCGACGAGTAAAAATAAAAAAACCTTGAAGAAGGACAGGTCCTCGGAGCCCCGGGGCCCCGCCGCCCCGCCCGCCCCCCGAGCTCCCCGCGCGCGGCCCCGCGGGCGAGGACTGCCCGGGCACCTGCGCGCCGCCGCCGAAGGACTGCGTCGACGGGGCCTGGGACGACTGGGGCGCCTGGGGCCCCTGCAGCGCCACCTGCGGAGGCCGGCGGGGCCCCCCCTTCCGCCGGAGGCGCAGAGCGCCTCGCTAAAACGACGCGAAGATCGGGACGAAATCGGATCGGGATAACTCGAAATCTCTGAGAATCGGCGGGTTCGGAGGACGTATTGGGCGCCGCGGCCGCTCCAGAGCGTTCCGGAACGCTCTGAGAGCGCTCCGGAAACGCCTGGAGCGATTTTTCCTGATCCTAGCCTTGTCGCGCCGTGAACAAAAAGGTAGACGGGGGGGTCTCCCACATGGATTCGGCCTCCGGGGGCCACTCCCCAGACTCCTCGCGCTGGGGAAAAAGAACATCCGACGGGAGGCGTTGCCCTGGTTTCGGCATTTCTGGGGCCCTCCAGGCCTCGGGACCGCCAAAGAAACGACACTCGGGATGACGAACCGGTCCCGGGGACGGATCAGACCTCTGGGGGTCGACGTGCGAAAAAAACACGACGTTCGAGTTCGATGGGGGGGCAAGGGGAGGAAACGAAGGATGAGGAGGAGAGGAGGAGGTGGTGGGCGAGGAGGAGGGGGGGGAGGGAGGAGAAGGAGGAGGAGGAGGCAGGAGGAGGGAGGACGAGAAGGAGGAGGAGGAGGGAGGACGGAGGAGGAGGAGAAGGAAGAAGGAGGAGGAGGAGGAGGAGGAGGGGAGGAGGCAGGAGGAGGACGGAGGAGGAGGAGGAGGAGCAGGAGGAAGGAGGAGGAGGAGGGGAGGAGGTAGGAGGAGGAGGAGGAGGCGGAGGAGGGGAGGAGGAGGAGCAGCAGCAGCAGGAGGAGGAGGAGGAGGGGGGCTGGGATGCCCTGCCCCGAGGTGTCCCTGGACTGCAGGCGAGATCGAGGCAGAAGACAAACTCTTCGAGCCGGGCGCTTCTCTGCGCAGCTTCGGGCCCCGAGGCCCTCACAGGTCGATCCGGCTCGAACCATCCTGGCGTCGCAGCCTTTTTTTGTTCAAGCCATGGCGTTTCTGCACAATGTCGGCCCCAGGGCCTTCGCAGATCGACCCGGCTGGAAGCGCCACACGCGCGCACAGACACAGACAGACACAGCCACAGCCACAGCCACAGCCACAGACACAGACACAGACACACACACACACACACACACACACACACATACACAAACACAAGCACGCACACACACACACACACACACACACACACACACACACACACACACATACACAACACACAAACGCAAGCACACACGTTTTTGTCGGCGGCGAGGCAGAGGTGGCTGCACCAGCGATACAGCTAGACGGGGGCACCGAGAAGCGAAGTGGCCAGCGTGCAAGAGCGGGAAGGGGGCAGAGAGGGCGGCCGCGGAGGGGGGGGAAGAAACGGCCACTCAGGGGCGGAAGAGCTCTCACCTGAGTGTGCTGGCGCGGGTCAGCCCCGCGAGCGGGGTCCGTGGCAGCTGCCGGGCCGCGGCACACACACACACACACACACACACACACACACACACACACACACACACGCCGCACGCACGCACACACGCACGCATGCAAAAACAAAGTGGGGTCGCGGAGCTCCAGTCGTAATGTTTCTCGGTGTTGCCATGCGTTCGCACCTGGCCCCCAGGGTGCCTCCAGGGGCTCATGGGAGGCCAGGGGGGGCCCGCCACATGCACGACCTGGCGCGAGGCCAGAGGGCCCCAGGTGCCCCAGAATGGCACGACAAGAGAGGGAAGCCCTGGGCCAGCCCTCTGGAAAACCCCCGAAGCGGTGGAGGAGAGGCGGGAGGACGCAGGAGGGCGGGAGAGGGGGGAGGGGGCGGAGGAAGACGAGAGGGATGAGGGGGAGAGGAGGGGGGAAGGAGGGTGGGGAGGAGAGAGAGGAGAGAAGGGGAGGAGGGAGGGAGGGAGGGCTAGGGAGGGGGAGGCGAGGAGGGAGGGGAGACAGGAGGGCGAGGAGAGGAGGGGAGTGACGAAGGAGAAGGACAGGGAAGGGAGGGAGGGGGGAGGGAGGGAGGGAGGGAGGCCTGGGCCTGGGCCTCCCCGCGTGATGGAGAAGAGCACGACGGAAGATGTTTGGACTGCTTACGGCCTCTGGGTGCCCTCCTGGGCCCGGGGACCGTCAAACAATGATTCGGGATGGAGGAGACGTCCCCAGGATGAGGTCCAGACTTCTGGAGACGCGGCGAAAAAAAAAACACGGCATTTGAGTTCTGAGCGGGGGCAAGGGGAGGAGAAGGATAAGGAGGAGGAGGA